ACAAAAAAATAATTATTCTCCCTGTTTCTATTCTTTGATTGATTTATCTCTCTCTCTCTCTCTCTCTCTCTCTCTCTCTCTCTCTCTATTGTAATACATTTTATGATGTTGATACACAAAATATAGTCTTTCTCTTGTTTTTATACCAATATGGTATGTTTAATTGCAGTTTAAAACAAGTTAAAGTTAAAATCTAAAATATCTTAACTTCTCTGTTTATAACTAAGTTTTCATCATTAATAACAGTTTTCATCATGTAATCTGTAATTAGTAACGGACTACAATTTGTAAGTAATCTATCCAGCTGTGTGTGTGTGTATATATATATATATATATATATATATATATATATATATATATATATGTGTAATTGACACCCCTAATAGATATTTCAGCCTTTTAATTTTTGTTCACTCTGTTCTTTGCACTTGTTTTCTCTGGCGATTTGTGTTTTGTGGTCAGAGAACAGAGCCTCAGCCTCCCTTTCACAGCCCTGCTTTGCTTTAGTAACCATGGCAACTTTCTCAGCTTCACCCTTAGTTCTGTGGCCCCGCCCCCAAGAGATGCTGAGGACACGCCTAGGAAGTGCCCTCAGATGATGGACAGGCAGGAGGCGGGCTCTGTGGGTGTGGTGGGACATGAAAGTCTTATTAAAGATGAGACTATTACCAAAAGCCCCTCCCCCAAACCTCACCAACCCTCATGTCGCCCCCTTTGGCAGGAAGATGATGATCTCCCCCCAATGTGAGAAAGCAATTTTAGGACCAATTTATTGCTTTTGAAAAGCGCTCTGACTAAAATGTATTTTTGTATTTCTGCATGGAAAGAGATTGTGTCTCATGCCTGTATCTATGTGTTTTATCATTGCTCCACTTTACTTTACTCATTGGTGCAATGGTTATCCTTAAAGGTGCTTTAAAGGGCTTTATTATTGAAGTAGCCTCTTTCATTTTAAGAGTTGACTGAATATTACTTACAGCACCTTTAAAGTATGTATGAAATGCTGTTGACAACCCATTTTACTGACATGTTTTGTGACATGAAGACACACATACAGACATAGAAAATATGTGAGCAATATAAAAATTGTCTGTCTGTATCTATCTATAGTATAGTGAGGCAACCTTTTATTTTGAGGGGGTAATACAATTTTTTTTAAGGCCTATACTAAGTGTTCTATTATGTTTAACCATTTTGTTCTTTAAAGCTCAACTTTATTTATATTGTTTTTTTGTTGTTGTTTTTTTAATCCATTAATGTTCTAGATTCAGAGCTACTAGTGTTTCTGAAACGGAGTAAGTTTCTTTTCCTTTCTCTCTGTCTTCTTACTGTTGCTGCAGAACTGAGCTGTTGCATGTACTGGTCAACACAAGCATTCAGCAGTGTCTCTATTCACATGCAGATACAACCATTTAAATTGTCACCTAAATTCTCTCTTGCACTTTATGCATGCATATTCAAAAGCTGAGTAGTCAAAAGCCTGTGCCTACACATGCATGCAATAACATATATTTGAATCTTTCTCATGGTTTGCTGTGGTGGATGCTTTTGCTCCCTGAAGAAAATTGTTACACACACACACACACACTTATTTTCATAACCTCAATCCACTACAGCATACCCAGTTTTATTAAAGGAACAGTTAAATGAAAAATGATAATTCTGTCATCATTTACTCGTCATGTTGTTCTAAATCTATATGACTGTTTGAGGGGAAAAAGTAACAATGTGCTGCTCGCTCTTTTCCATGCATTTACAGTTCATTAGAGTTAACAAGCTTCAGAGGGATGTAAATATGACTTGTGTACATATTTAACATTTTATGAAGTCAATAGCTTTATATGAGAAACAGACTGAAACTGAAGATCAGCTTTCATGTCAGTTTTGTGAATTGGGATGATATATATATATATATATATATATACTGTATATATATATATATATATATACATTATGTTTATCAGAAGTGAAGATTTACTAAAATTAACTAAAATGTAATGTGGTATTTATGATAATATGGATTTCGAACAACATGAGGGTTTCTTGAGCAATTAAGAAATGATGTTGTCATATATGTAAATCTACTTTTTCTTGTAGTTGTTCTGTTTGTATTGTTCATGGTCCTTATAACCATGTGTTGTTCTTCCACTAACATTTCTTCCACTTGTCATTCCTTGTTAGCATCATAATAACATTTTATGTTTTTTTTCCTGAATTTCCTGTCTTCGTGTCTTCAGGTCAGAGGAAGAGATGTAGTGTTATTTTTTTCTCTGGCTTTGATTGCACCTTCCCTTCTTCAGCTAAAAGCATTACAGCACTTGTAAACATGTCTATTTTTGTTTTTGTTATTCAAAGGAGTGTGAGTTTGATTGACATGCGTGATGAAGAGGATGAGCTGGCCTACCTTCAGCTGCACAGCCAATCACGACATGAGCACCTACACAACCAGTACAACAAACTCCGAGAGGAGGAGGACCAGTGGCAGGACGTGAGTCATCCAAACCCACGTAAGCACATGTTTAATGAGCTCACATGCATAAGTATGTACGTTTTCTGGCTTCTGTGTGTAGGACTTGGCTCGCTGGAAAAATCGAAGGCGAAGTGCATCTCATGATTTGATCAAAAAGGAAGAAGAGAGGAAAATGATGGAGAAGCTAATGTCAACAGATGGAGGACCCGGCCATCGCCGGAAGAGCATCAAGACATACAAAGAAATCGTTGAGGAGAAGTGAGACACAAATTGAAATCTCTACACCCTCCAGATTTGGATTTAGCAGATTTTGGAGGGGTTTAGTGAATATGAAGTGTTGGTATTATAAAACAGCCTGCAAAAGTGACTGTTTAGTGAAACTGCCTTTTCAAGGGTCAATAAAATGATGCTCTTTTTTTGTCTATTTATTAATTTATTAAAAAATACATCAGTGGCTTGACTAGAATACACCTTCTATGATCAGCATGTAATTTTTGGATTAAAATTGATTTAGATGATACATTTTTATTTTAATAATGTCAAAGTAATACAACTGTCCAGATATCATAATGAAGAAAAAAAGCCTAATTAAAAGAATGAAATTCTTGAAAAGTACACTGCTGGGGGTCAGTAGGAGTTTTTCTTTTTGTTTTTTAAGAAATAAATACTTGTATTCAGCGAGGACATCAAAAGTGACATCAAAGACTTTACATAATAATTAGAAATACTTCTTGAGAAATATTTCCAAAACCTTTTTATATATTTATCATGAATATTTGTCACTTAATTTTCTATTGATCTCACTCTCTCTCTTTCAGAGAACGTAGGGAACATGAGCTACATGAACAATACTGTAAGGCCTCCACTCCAGAAGAAAAGGCAGCTGTGCTTCAACGCTATGCTCTCCGTTTCACCATCAGTGATGCCATATTGGAGAAACTCCAGCTCCCCAAACTGCCTTCTGCGGCCTCACCGATGCACACGCCACCTCTCCATCAGCCTGAGAAGAAGCTGACATGCACCACCTTAGCAGAAGCAGAGGATCTAGAGCCTCAACAAACTACCCAAACACACCACAGTGTCCATGCATACCAGAAGACTGCACAAAAACAGGCACCGGCACAGCGTGAAACCCCTGAGCCATCACCTGATGAGACCACCAAAGCTCCAAAAGTCCTGTCAGTGCCTATACGAGTTCCTCCTGCTCCCTCAAAGCCTGTACTAAAAGTGACTGTTTAGTGAAACTGCCTTTTCAAGGGTCAATAAAATGATGCTCTTTTTTTGTCTATTTATTAATTTATTAAAAAATACATCAGTGGCTTGACTAGAATACACCTTCTATGATCAGCATGTAATTTTTGGATTAAAATTAATTTAGATGATACATTTTTATTTTAATAATGTCAAGGTAATACAACTGTCCAGATATCATAATGAAGAAAAAAAGCCTAATTAAAAGAATGAAATTCTTGAAAAGTACACTACTGGGGGTCAGTAGGAGTTTTTCTTTTTGTTTTTTAAGAAATAAATACTTGTATTCAGCGAGGACATCAAAAGTGACATCAAAGACTTTACATAATAATTAGAAATACTTCTTGAGAAATATTTCCAAAACCTTTTTATATATTTATCATGAATATTTGTCACTTAATTTTCTATTGATCTCACTCTCTCTCTTTCAGAGAACGTAGGGAACATGAGCTACATGAACAATACTGTAAGGCCTCCACTCCAGAAGAAAAGGCAGCTGTGCTTCAACGCTATGCTCTCCGTTTCACCATCAGTGATGCCATATTGGAGAAACTCCAGCTCCCCAAACTGCCTTCTGCGGCCTCACCGATGCACACGCCACCTCTCCATCAGCCTGAGAAGAAGCTGACATGCACCACCTTAGCAGAAGCAGAGGATCTAGAGCCTCAACAAACTACCCAAACACACCACAGTGTCCATGCATACCAGAAGACTGCACAAAAACAGGCACCGGCACAGCGTGAAACCCCTGAGCCATCACCTGATGAGACCACCAAAGCTCCAAAAGTCCTGTCAGTGCCTATACGAGTTCCTCCTGCTCCCTCAAAGCCTGTACCCCTGATCACCCCAAAACCCTACAGCCAGCCCAAATTCAGCCAAGGCCTCCGCAAATCAGTAAAGGCAAGACTATCTTACGCAGGACTATAATCTCAAGAACCAATAATTAATTTAAGGATAATAATCAGCTTAAATAAATGTGTGTTCTCTGGTTTTATTACAGAGCGATGGGCTGATACGTGTGAATGGTGACAGGACTCAGCAAGAGAACAGAGAGAGGGGCGATAAAGATTCTGTGTCGTGTCCTCAAGTCGACTTATCTTCCTCACCTCCAAAGCCAGCCACACAAAGTCAGCAAAATGAGGAGCTAATTGCTTTAGAAGCCTCAGACCACCAGCAAAGCTCACAGACTTCCGTTTCTGACCAGGAGGAAGAAGTCGGAAAGAAGGAAAAAGAATGTTCTCTTAGTCCTCAGGAAGAGAATAGCAAAGAAGACACCTCAACTACACTGTCGGTGTCAGAACCAGAAGGTTGAGGATTATAATATTATTATTATAATAAGACAATTCTTTTATAATTAAAGGGACAGTTCACTTCAAAATGAAAAGTGTCATAATTCACATTGTATGCATTTCTTTCTTCTGTGGAACATAAAAGAAGATATTTAGAGAAATTTCACTGTGTTTTTTTCCATACAATGGAAGTCAATGGGCTCCAATCATGCTTGGTTCCCAACATTCTTCCACAGAACAAAGACATGCATACAGGTTTGAAATGACAAAAGGGACCAAATTAAATAATGAAATAACTTTCGTTTTTAGGTGGACTATCACTTTAAGTAGCAAAAGTAGTTCAAACTTTTGCAGCTAGTCTTTTAGATTAATACATTGACACTTGGCTGCCCACATTTCATATCAGCGACACCTATTTGATAATCATAAACTTTTCTGTAAGTGCAAATACATGCAAATTTCTAACAGCACAAAAAAGTGATTATGTGATGTAACCCATTTATAGCAGAGGTAGCATAGACTGAATGATTTTTATATTAACTTATATTTTCCTATTTCATCAGGAAAGCAGCCAGTGCCTGACACAGTGATGAAGCGCAACTGTGTTGTCACAACAACCATCGTGACAGAGCTCACTCAGACGCACCCCGTCCCACCAAATGACACGTCCAGCACAGAGCAGGTGGGCCTTGATTTCTCTCTTTTCACTTTTTAATAAAACACATACACTTGCAAATGAATTGAAGTATTGCAAAAGAAAATAAAGTTTTGCAAACGAAAATGAAAGTATTGAGAAAAAATAAATGTGACCCTGGACAACAAAACCAGTCATAAGGGTCAATTTTTTGAAATTGAGATTTATACATAATCTCGAAGCTAAATAAATAAGCTTTCCATTGATGTATGGTTTGTTAGGATAGGACAATATTTGGCCGAGATACAACTATTTGAAAATCTGGGAATCTGGGGGTGCAAAATAATCAAAATATTGAGAAAATCACCTTTAAAGTTGTCCAAATGAAGTTCTTAGCAATGCATATTGCTAATCAAAAATTAAGTTTTGATATATTTACGGTAAGAAATTTACAAAATATCTTCATGGAACATGATCTTTACTTAATATCCTAATGATTTTTGTCATAAAAGAAAAATCGATAATTTTGACCCATACAATGTATTTTTGGCTATTGCTACAAATATACCCCAGCGACTTAAGACTGCTTTTAGATCTGCTCCAGGATCACAAATGTGCTTTTGCAAACAAAAATAAAGAACTGCAAAAGAAAATGAAGTATCTACATACAGAAACGTTTTTTTCATTAGTTTTGGAGTTGTCCATGTTCAACCAGTTTTTGGTTTGTTAGAAATCAGATTATGTCCAGCTTTCAACTTTGTTTTGAAAATATATATATATATTTTTTTTCACTTACGACATGTCATTCCATGAGGAATGATTATTTCATTATTATTTGATTAATTTGTTACTCTTCCTGGCAAAGTTTAGTATACATAAATGCAAGTACGGCGATTATAAACCATTATTTCTAATTAAGTGTATTAAAGGGGTCATATGATGCTTTTTTAAAGATCGTTATTTTGTGTATTTGGTGTAACAGAATATGTTGACATACTTTAATGTTCAAAAAACACATTATTTTTCAAATACTGTACATTATTGTAGGTCCTCTATGCCCCGCCTCTCTCAAACGCTTCGTTTTCTACAAAGTCCCTCCTTCGACAAGCGCAGTCTGCTCTGATTGGCCAGCTGACCCAGTGCATTGTGATTGGCCGAACACCGCAAGCACTCGTCGGAAATGTAACGCCCCTTACTTTAATGTATGTAAACATTTCCATGTTTTCAATTTTTTTTTCTTTTTTTAATTTATTTATTTCATTGTAATTTTTTTTTCTTGTCTTCACCCCCTGGCTACTGTAAAATGTTGAATGTGAAAAAAAAATTAACCAGCAGCAATCTGGGGGAAAAAAATGTAAAAAAGAGAAGCTGAGTCAGCCGACTGCTCTTGAATCGCTCTCACGGTACTTTGATGCCATACGTCACAGTGGCATGGCATCGGCTGTGTCTCTCTTTTTTTTTTTTATCAATACATAAATTTTAGGTTTTAGTATTTGTATTGTGTGGTAACCGTTTTGTGAATACTATAGGTTACGGCTGAAGGGGTTGCAGGCACTCCGCTTCATGTCATGCATAAATATACAGCAAGGCCTCTCCTACCTTACTGCTTACAAGATGCTGTGTAATAAGCAGAGTCATATACAGGCGAATGATCGTTTTCTGACTGTATGTACAGCTGGCTGTATATTATTCCTCACTTATTTGTAACACAGATCATTTTTGTCAGCATTTTATATCTTAATAGCATACCTTCAAAAAAATTAAGGTGAATGTGCTACTGTGTATTCTGTTGGAAACCTGCTTATGTTTCCACATTGACTGTGATGATTTTATTCGCCTCAGCTTGATTCAGTCCATAATTCATGTGATCTGAGCTCAACTGCCGAGTCCACCAAGGCCGAGCAGACTTCATGCTCACTCTCGCTGACAGGTAATACAACTCCACTTTCCACATCCACATTTCTCTCATAATGCCATTACCGAATTAGTCCCTTCTCCACACTTCTCACACTTTTTAGTCCTTCATTTACTTCCACTTATTCCTCTTTTGGGTTGCCTTTCTTTCTGGTTTATCTTTTTCTGCCTTTTTCTCTTGCTTTTTCTCTTGCTTTTTGTCTCTTTCATTGACTACCCCTCTTTCATTCGGTGTGCGTGTGGGTCTGTTAGGGTCCTCACATTCCTCTAGTAGCTCTAGGTTACGCTGGGAGTTCTTCGCTCCAACAGGTAAAACTGATAGATGAACTAATAGCACAGGGCTTCCATCTCCATGAACAGCAGATGAGCCATCTGCTCATCTCTCGTTTGTTAGTCTCCTTTGACTTCTCCTGTTGAGGTGCATTGTACAGTAAATGCTTGTCTGCTGAGGGCACTATGAGACAGTACAGACTTTTTAAACTGGTTTTTGAGTGTAGAGGAGAGTGGGGTAAGCTGTGCCACATTAATTTAAGTTGTCATAAAGAAATGTTTTGTAAGCACCAAATCAGCATATTAGAATGATTTCTGAAGGATCATGTGACACTGAAGACTGGAGTAATGATGCTGAAAATTCAGTTTTGCATCACAGGAATAAATTACATTTTACAATATATTACAATTAAAAAATGGTTATTTTAAATTATAATAATATTTCACAATGTTACTGATTTTACTATATTTTTGAGCAAATAAATGCAGCCTTGGTGAGCAGAAGATACTTCAACAAAATTAATCTTACCGACCCCAATTTATTATATTATATTATATTATATATATTTAATAAATAATGGCTGATCTTTAGCCAAATAATTTTACATGGTTATACAATGACAGTTTACCAATATGTATGATATATATATTGGCCTAGATAAATTTGCTTTGACATACAAATAATTTTTTTATTTGCCATGTAGAAAATGTACTTGATTTACTAGCGTATAGTATATTATTACTAGTATATGCAGTAGTAGAATGACAAAAACCTTTCACAGTTTCTTAAAGGGGTCATATGATGCTGCTAAAAATAACAATATTTTTTGTATTTGGTGTAATGAAATGTGTTTATGCAGTTTAAGGTTCAACTCTGCATTTGTAGTGTGAAGTCTATAAATATTGTCAAAATCTGATCAATATTGGATACAGGAGATCAGCTGGAGATGCATGGGAATAATTAATAATACCGGTAAGTGTAAACGGAGATCACACGATGGATGTCAGTACCGAGTGTAAACAGATATTATGCCTCGCCACTTTATGTCTCTTAATCTCTCTCAATCTCTTTGTGTCATTTTAGTGTTTTATGCTCTGTGTATCTGTGTACCAGTTATCGCTTTCATTAGCGTAAGAAGAGATGAATGAGAATATGATGAGTTTCTAAAGCCACTGTTGCCCTCTTCTTTCCTTCACAGAGGGGATTGACTACTCCATTGACTGTGTAAGTACTTACGTTGTGCCAAACTCACATTCATTCTTCATGAATGCCTCCTTATTTCCTCTTTCTGCATCTCTTTTCAGTCTTTTTTCTTTTGTTAGTCACTCATTGTAACGTTTTGGTCATTTCGGCTGCTGGTGTGCTCAGGGTGGCTTGAGGGAAACAGGTTGTGTTGGACGTCTTTGCCGTTGCATTGCTTCTCGCTGATGTTTCAGCGTTTCACACCAGTAGCTTTACATTTTGAGGACAGCGTGTTAAGTTAGAATACAAATAGTTAAAAAGTGTTAATGCATCTCAAAAACGTTTAGCATTCTGTTGCATTCAGCTGTTGTGTGTGCATCCTCTCTTCATACTGTTCAGAGTGCTGTTGCTGCCTTAATCACACTGCACACAATTCTGTGTTAGTTTAGTATTACTTATGTACTATTATACTATTTATTATTTTCAATGACTTTTTATATTTATATTTTCAGTTTTAGTCATTTTTAGTATGTTTTTCATATCATTTTTTATTTATGTTTAGCTTTTTTAACTTAAAAAATAGATATGTTGCCTTGGCAACTAAGTGAAATAAAATTTAAACAGATTTTTTTATATATATATTTAATTTAAATTTGACATCTAATACATTTTTTTAATCTAATATTTATATTTTATGTTATTTAAGCTTATTGATTTCAGTTAAAGAAGGTGAGTTTTAATAGTTTTAGCTTTAGTTATCGATGATAACACTTACACAGTTGTACACTTTGGCACTTTTTTTCAAATGGCAAAAGAAAAAAAACGTTCTGACTTTTAAAACTTTGAAATATTTCAAAAAATTTGAATTAGATTTCAAGCCAGTTATGCATGCGGTTTCAGTCTGGTTTGTAAACATTGGATTCTGTGATTGAAGCACTTGAACCACATTCGGAGGTGGTCAGATACACATGACCGCTCTGCATTTGTAGTGTGAAGTCTATAAATATTGTCAAAATCTGATCAATATTGGATACAGGAGATCAACTGGAGATGCATGGGAATAATTAATAATACCGGTAAGTGTAAACGGAGATCACACGATGGATGTCAGTACCGAGTGTAAACAGATATTATGCCTCGCCACTTTATGTCTCTTACTCTCTCTCAATCTCTTTGTGTCATTTTAGTGTTTTATGCTCTGTGTATCTGTGTACCAGTTATCGCTTTCATTAGCGTAAGAAGAGATGAATGAGAATATGATGAGTTTCTAAAGCCACTGTTGCCCTCTTCTTTCCTTCACAGAGGGGATTGACTACTCCATTGACTGTGTAAGTACTTACGTTGTGCCAAACTCACATTCATTCTTCATGAATGCCTCCTTATTTCCTCTTTCTGCATCTCTTTTCAGTCTTTTTTCTTTTGTTAGTCACTCATTGTAACGTTTTGGTCATTTCGGCTGCTGGTGTGCTCAGGGTGGCTTGAGGGAAACAGGTTGTGTTGGACGTCTTTGCCGTTGCATTGCTTCTCGCTGATGTTTCAGCGTTTCACACCAGTAGCTTTACATTTTGAGGACAGCGTGTTAAGTTAGAATACAAATAGTTAAAAAGTGTTAATGCATCTCAAAAACGTTTAGCATTCTGTTGCATTCAGCTGTTGTGTGTGCATCCTCTCTTCATACTGTTCAGAGTGCTGTTGCTGCCTTAATCACACTGCACACAATTCTGTGTTAGTTTAGTATTACTTATGTACTATTATACTATTTATTATTTTCAATGACTTTTTATATTTATATTTTCAGTTTTAGTCATTTTTAGTATGTTTTTCATATCATTTTTTATTTATGTTTAGCTTTTTTAACTTAAAAAATAGATATGTTGCCTTGGCAACTAAGTGAAATAAAATTTAAACAGATTTTTTTATATATATATTTAATTTAAATTTGACATCTAATACATTTTTTTAATCTAATATTTATATTTTATGTTATTTAAGCTTATTGATTTCAGTTAAAGAAGGTGAGTTTTAATAGTTTTAGCTTTAGTTATCGATGATAACACTTACACAGTTGTACACTTTGGCACTTTTTTTCAAATGGCAAAAGAAAAAAAACGTTCTGACTTTTAAAACTTTGAAATATTTCAAAAAATTTGAATTAGATTTCAAGCCAGTTATGCATGCGGTTTCAGTCTGGTTTGTAAACATTGGATTTCATATGCATTTATGAACTGCAAAATCTATAAAGATATAAGTATTTTTTGCCAAAAAAAAAAATGTTTCTGCCAGTCTGAGAAAAGGTTTAAAGTAACCAACTGGAACAAGCCACCCAACAACAAGTATAGTACTGTAACAAATCACAAAATAAAAAAAGAATTGAAAAAAAACCACACGCCCCTTACCTTTTGGCGCGCCCTAATCTTTCACCATGCCCACTGCTCCAGCCTGCAGTTATCCCTACTCGCCTTCTTTTGGCTCAGCTTATACCTGGTATTCATATCCATCTCAGGTGATAGAATCACACATAGGCAGCTAAATACAGGTGTAAACCGGGTAGGGCTGCACGATTATGACAAAAATCATAATTGTCGATTATTCCCTTGAAATTGTCATTGCTATTATTAATTACGATTATCACAACTTACAATGAATGATGTTTATACCATTGTTTGAAGCAACCGCATGCCATATTTTTTGATAAAAATAAGCGAGCTGAAAACAGTCTAACTGAAAAACTTTTATTACTTTTCTATAGTATTAAGCCTCAAATGTCAACTATACATTGGATTGGTTTCTTCTTTAAATAATAATTTTTTTAAAAAGTACAAATATTCATGATATTATAATGTTATACTAAAACTAAAATTAAAACAATGGAAAAATCCTTAAGATAACCTGTAGAAAGAAAAGAATAACATAAGTGGCCTCTGAACGATTCTGGTTTGAACGATGTAATCACGATTAGAAATTAGATTAATTGTGCAGCCCTAAAACAGGGTCCAAAATCTGTGATTGAAGCACTTGAACCACATTCGGAGGTGGTCAGATACACATGACCACTCTGCATTTGTAGTGTGAAGTCTATAAATATTGTCAAAATCTGATCAATATTGGATACAGGAGATCAGCTGGAGATGCATGGGAATAATTAATAATACCGGTAAGTGTAAACGGAGATCACACGATGGATGTCAGTACCGAGTGTAAACAGATATTATGCCTCGCCACTTTATGTCTCTTACTCTCTCTCAATCTCTTTGTGTCATTTTAGTGTTTTATGCTCTGTGTATCTGTGTACCAGTTATCGCTTTCATTAGCGTAAGAAGAGATGAATGAGAATATGATGAGTTTCTAAAGCCACTGTTGCCCTCTTCTTTCCTTCACAGAGGGGATTGACTACTCCATTGACTGTGTAAGTACTTACGTTGTGCCAAACTCACATTCATTCTTCATGAATGCCTCCTTATTTCCTCTTTCTGCATCTCTTTTCAGTCTTTTTTCTTTTGTTAGTCACTCATTGTAACGTTTTGGTCATTTCGGCTGCTGGTGTGCTCAGGGTGGCTTGAGGGAAACAGGTTGTGTTGGACGTCTTTGCCGTTGCATTGCTTCTCGCTGATGTTTCAGCGTTTCACACCAGTAGCTTTACATTTTGAGGACAGCGTGTTAAGTTAGAATACAAATAGTTAAAAAGTGTTAATGCATCTCAAAAACGTTTAGCATTCTGTTGCATTCAGCTGTTGTGTGTGCATCCTCTCTTCATACTGTTCAGAGTGCTGTTGCTGCCTTAATCACACTGCACACAATTCTGTGTTAGTTTAGTATTACTTATGTACTATTATACTATTTATTATTTTCAATGACTTTTTATATTTATATTTTCAGTTTTAGTCATTTTTAGTATGTTTTTCATATCATTTTTTATTTATGTTTAGCTTTTTTAACTTAAAAAATAGATATGTTGCCTTGGCAACTAAGTGAAATAAAATTTAAACAGATTTTTTTATATATATATTTAATTTAAATTTGACATCTAATACATTTTTTTAATCTAATATTTATATTTTATGTTATTTAAGCTTATTGATTTCAGTTAAAGAAGGTGAGTTTTAATAGTTTTAGCTTTAGTTATCGATGATAACACTTACACAGTTGTACACTTTGGCACTTTTTTTCAAATGGCAAAAGAAAAAAAACGTTCTGACTTTTAAAACTTTGAAATATTTCAAAAAATTTGAATTAGATTTCAAGCCAGTTATGCATGCGGTTTCAGTCTGGTTTGTAAACATTGGATTTCATATGCATTTATGAACTGCAAAATCTATAAAGATATAAGTATTTTTTGCCAAAAAAAAAAATGTTTCTGCCAGTCTGAGAAAAGGTTTAAAGTAACCAACTGGAACAAGCCACCCAACAACAAGTATAGTACTGTAACAAATCACAAAATAAAAAAAGAATTGAAAAAAAACCCTCCAAGTTACAAAATTGATGTTTAATTATTGATCATTTTTGTACTTTCGAGTACTTGTGCTCATACAAGTTGGAACAGTATAGGTGCACCCTGTCTTCTTATCTTTCTTCCTTTCCTTTTTTCCTTTCTATTTCTGTGTGTGCGTTTGTGTGTTTGTGTGTGTGTGTTTGTGTTTGTGTGTGTGTGTGTGTGTGTGTGTGTGCGTGCGTGCGTGCATGCGTGCGCGTGAATCAGATTGAAACCCCAATGTTGAACCTTGCAAAAAGGGTTGACCACTGGACATGGGATCCTAATGAAGAGCGTAGACGGCAGGAGAGGTGGCAACAGGAGCAGGATCGCCTGCTGCAGGTACAATAGCCAGCTTGGGGTTTGTCTGAGAGAAGTGTGCACCTGCTGTTCTGTAGAGACAACTTCCTCTGTTGTTGTGTTCTGGTTAGCTGTTTCCCATCTGTTCCTGTCTTCACCTTCTCTCAAATCTATCACAGTGTTTGCTGACTGTTGTATAACTACAACCAAACTTGTATGACTTCTTTCTTCTGTGGAATATAAAAGGAGGAATTTTGAAGAATGTGTTGATTACTGTTGTCCATGCAGTTACAATAAATGAGCATTGAAGCTTTCAATTTTCATAAAGGCCACAAAAGCACTTGTGTATTAAAAATTTGAGGTCAGTAAGATTTTTTTTATAAAGAAATTAATACTTAGTCAGCAAGGACGGATTAAATTAATCAAAAGTGACAGTAAAGACTTTATTACAAAAAAAAAATATTTCAAATAAATGCTGTTCTGTACTTTATATTCATCAAAGAGTCCTGAAAAAATGCATCATGGTTTTCAGAATTTGTCCTTTTGTGTTCCACAGAAGAAAGAAAGTTGAAACAACATAAGGTTGAATAAATGATGACAGAGGTCTAATATTGAAGTCAACTGTTACTTTAATTCCTCTTTTTCTTTTTCTGCAGGAGAAATATCAGCGAGAGCAAGAGAAGCTGAAGGAGGAGTGGGAGAGATCGCAGAGAGAAGTGGAAGAAGAGGAGAGGAGACACCATGAAGAGGTGTGTCTTCGAATTGTTTCACATGACATCTAATTGGTTCTTAATGAACACTAATTAGTTCTTAATTTTTCTAGGAGAGACAGATACTGGAGGAAACCGTGACCCCACTGACCCCTCGCACCTCAGCTTTATCATCCAGTATGGTGACAGAGGCTCCGTCCCTCACCCAGCCCTCAGCCCCTCGTGACACCATTGTCCTCTCCTTGGCTGACTGGGAAAGGAAACAGGAAATGCTGGAGAAACAGGGGAACCAGAGTAACAGACTAACACACAGGTGGAATACATACAAAATCCATTAGAAAGCAAATATCCCTTTTCCAGCAGACTGGTGCTGATTCTGGTGTTCAGCCAGACGATCTGAGAAACTCTCTCAGAACGGCTTGTGTTTCCACTGAGTCGAATGTTAACGTGACTGGTTTTGTTAAGATGGTAGCTTGCCATAGTAACACAAAACCTATAAAAAAATCACATTTTAACATCCAACGTAATTTAATTCAGTGTCTTTGGGGTATAAAACGCTGACTTTGATATACTCTGGCAACCTGTCATTGGAAAACGTGTAACAGACAAATAAAGATTCAAGTGTTGGCATCATAACTCAGCATAAAGGACATGTCTGAAAGGATGTTTCAATGTTAATATAACTTTTCTAGCCCTGATCAAGTAATCACAGCAGCTCAGCAGAACGGTCAGAGAGCTGAACCTCAGGAGAGCCAAACAGCTACACCACAACTGCAGTTTATACAGGGTAAGACACAAACACTTCATCTGGATCATGGATGTCTTAAACAAAATGTACTGAATAAAATAAATGTTTTAGTAAGCGTGTAAAAATCCTAAATAAAAATGTATATTTGTTGGTTGGTTTCATAAATTTTTGAAAATGTTTCATCTACAAAAAAACATTTGATAGACTGTAAATATCAAGTGAAGCAACATGTAAAACGTCAACAAAAAGTAACTTTCTTTGTGCCTTGAATACAAGTGTATATAACATAATTCTTATTTTCAGAAATGTTTTCAAACATAATTTTCAAGGTGAATATTTAATGATTATTAATATTGTTATTATTAATTATTATAATATTAATGAAATATTGTGACTTTAATTTGGAGGACAAGAGGTTTTTAGAAATAACCAATCTTTTACCAACATTTTAGATATTTTTAAATCTAATATTTAAAATATAACATTTAATAATTATTATATTTAGTTATAATATGAATTCATAATATTCTAAATAATCATAATAATAGTTGTATTATTATTACATTATATTTTATTTTTATTATTTTATTAAAGTTAAATTATGTATTTTTTTATTAATTTTTTTCATGAGTCATGGATATTGAATGGTTTTCTTAGCTTTCATAAAAGAAATAAATGATCTCATATCATTTCAAAACAAAAGTGAATGACATTAATACACAGATAAACATCTAAAGGGATCCTTTTCACAATTTCTTCCTGTTGTTTACGCCACGCTTGACTTTAATTTGGAGGACAAATGGCTTTTACAAATAGCCTAATACCAACATTTTAGAAATCTTTACATAATAATTTAAAAATATATATTTTTTAAATAATCAAACTTAAAAATAACCATAATAAACCTTAAAAAAGAAAATGCAAGAACATATATTTGAATGCTTTACTCATCTGCCACAATAATGTTTGCATATAAAGAAAACACACGGGATACTCAATTAAAACCGCAAATTAGCAGACATGCATGCTTTTTCTCTGTGTGTTATTACAGATGGCTCTTGGAGCTGTAAGTCTAAAGGAAGGCAAGAGGATTTGAAGAAAACTGCCTCACTGGATCGTAAACAGAGTCCACCCCAGAGCCAGACCACAAAGATGAGGAGGTACGTGGATGTGTTTGTGGGATTGCATGCTGGCTTGCATACACACACGTGTGCCAAAATGCTTCTTGGCTTTGCTATGAGTGGAGGATGTTTTAAAGATCAGATCAGTTTGAGTTTTTTTTTTCTGGCACATGGAACATTTCTGCATATGACTTGCTTTCACGGTTGTGTGACTCTATGCTTGTGTGTATGTGTGTGTGGCTGCTGGCAGGACTGGGTCGTGTGAAAATGTTTTAGGGACACACCCATCAAAATCACCCACACCATCACAAGACACGCCACCTCCATCACCCAGCAGGTATGAGCCTCCCCTCCAACACATACTCAATCACATGGAGATACATGTGTGTGTGTGTGTGTGTGTGTGTGTGTGTGTGTGTGTGTAAAAT